CTTCAGAAATAAGACGTTGCTAAAATTTTTGAAACGAACATATTAGGCAACTTTCGTCTATTATATTTGGAAGTTTAATGTAGTTAACGAAAATGTATTTTGAAGTTTCAAAAGATACTCTTTAATTAATTTGAAATTTAAATCAAAGAAGACTATTGGAATTTCCTAATTAAATACTTTCAAACATTTACTTGAGAAAAAGTTCGCTATTTCAAATCTCTCCAAATTGTCTAAAAGGAAAAAAAAATATTACTAAATTTACATTACTTTCAAAGAGCAAGTTCGTTATATTTTCTGCTGTTTGAAAGATGATCCAGTTTGTTTTGAGCATTTGAATAAATATCAGTGAAATAAAATAAAATAAAAAGTTATTATAGTAAAGGAAACAAGACCTAAAACTTTATTACGTGCGTCTAGGATAAGCGAGTTTAAAGAATGATTCTAATTATTTGAACAACCTTGTACATGGGAAATGAATATCTTCCATGTTTTATTATTATTTTTATATAATAACTGATTCATATGATATATACTCATATAGAGAATTGATATTTAAATTAATTTTAATATTTTTAAATTTCTGGAGAATTTTACAGCTTTAATAGTTGTGGATTTTATTTATTACAGTAGAGCAGGTCTTGAAATTTTAATGAGAGATTTTCAAGTTTTCAAAGAAAAATTTCAGCATCAAGTGAAGCGAAATTAAATATATCTGACTCCTAACCTAAAGCAATTTTCATAAAAAATCTATTGTTTGCAGGCATACAGCTATTACTTCATTTAAATTCATTGTAAAATGTGTAGTTGTAAATTATTATATAAAAACTATAGAGGGAAACATAGCACACATTTTTAATATATAATTATATAATAAAGTTAAAATACTTTCAATTATCTTCAAAACTTAGTGAATGTATTCGAAAAAAAAAGAGAATGATATTAACTCTTAGAAATTGTATTTAGCATTATAATTCAAAAAAACCTTTAATTATAAATTTAAGAATAATGTACTGATAATGTACCGTAAGATAAAAAAAATATAATAAATTTTTATTTCATTAAAATTTTAAGTAAAATATCTCAGGAAAATAAAACATATTAATCAAATAATTAACGAGTTTAGAAATTTTTTTGTTGAATATAACGTAATTTAACGTTATTAAAAATATTAACAAGCTTTAATGAAAAATTACTAGAAATTTTCAGTTCTAAAAATTACTAGTATTTAAACTTAAAAATGTAATCTAAACTAGTAAATAATTCAACAAAGACTTCAAAAAAAAGTTTTTTAATAGAAGCAACTACTTTTAATCTTATTACCTACAAGTATAAATTCAAATAAATTAGTCAACTACACTGTAAGAAATTCCGTATAAAATTACAGTACAAAGTACCGGTAATTTTGGTGCATTATCCATATAATCTATTTCACCTTAAAATAATGCTTATTTAATTACCATAAAATATTTATTTAGTAAGAGTGATTCAGTGATTTTATGAAAATTATTACTGTAAAATGTATGGTACTTCAGATTTTTCGTTCCATTACATGTTCCTCCGGTAAAAAGCATCAGCACCCTGAGTGCCGGTACTTTTTTTCCATTTTACAGTAAAATATTTGTAAAATAATACTTATTTTATTACCATAAAGTACTTATTTAATAAGAGTGATTTCGTGATTTTACGATAGTTATTACTGTAAAAATTAGGGTATATTAGATTTTTGGTCCTGTGACATGTTCCAATAAAATGGATTTTAAGGTAAAAAGTATCAGCACTGTGAGTGCTGATACATTTTTACCATAAAATCCATTTTAACTGCTATTTGATGTGCTTTTAATTGTAACTTGATTTCGAATTTTTTTACAGTGTATCAAAAAATGAAGATTAATAACTAAAAAATTGCAAAATTATAAACATGCATGATTAAACTACCAGACTTAATCGTTTAGAAAATATTTTTACTGTTTCACTCCTTTAAATGAATGAAACAGCAAAATTAAATATTTGGTGTGAAGAATTAGCAGTTTTAAGTTGTAGAATTGATACAGTTTCAGTGCAGTGATTAGCATTTAGCAACATTATTCAATTCTCGATTAAATAAGTTTACTTAGAATTTAATCTTTAAATTTTCTAATTATAAGATATATTAATTGATAAGACGAATAGATTACGTTTATTTTCTGATGAGGAATAGTAATAAAAAATGAATTTTATGTTATAAAATTCGTTATTTGAAAATAAGAAGCAAAATTATAATTCATTAACGATTTTATTTTTTAATAGATTTGAAATATTTGACGAAAACGTTTTTTAACATCTCTATTAAAGCGTTTTCTGCGAAACAATAGCTTTTTTCACTAAACACAAATTTTTTATATAAAGAAGAAGATCCTTAAACTAAAATGAACTAATTTAACGTCAAAAATTTATTTTTACGTCGGACTTTATTCTTCTTTTAGCGTTTTGTCAGTATCTCTGAAGTTGGTAAACTTTCTGTGATATCAAGATATCTGTTGCTAATGTAAATTTTTATATTATGAGCTTTCCTGACTTGAATACTGGTAAATTTGAATTAGAATTAACTTTTAACACTTTGTTCTCTGTGCTATTGGCAGCAACTTATATTGATTCTACTTGTTAAAGTTTTTCTCAACGTTTACAAAATCTGCATTTATTGAAAGATATTTTAACTTCAAGCGTATAGCAACATATTGTTTGATAATAGAAAATGCTTAAAGTTTTTTTTTATCAATGCTTGTTTTTAAATTAAACAGGGCAAAGAACAAAACTTACAAAAAAATGTATTAAATAGCCATATTCCTTTATACAAATGTTTAATTTCATAATAATTGAAAATAACAGATTTCAAGTTTTCATAAAACTTTCTTTGAAGTTTGATGCACAAGGAAAACTTTAATCTTCTTCAAATTGTATCAATAAATTTAGACCTTATTAACATTTTTTAAATAATTGTAGTTTTTGAATATGAACTATATATATTTATAATAAATTTGGAAATGGAATTAAAAATGAGTTCATTTTAAAGGGAAATGCTGTAAAAAAGTATTGAATTTTTAAACCATTTGTAAGTTATTTAAAGCACTTAGATTCACAGTCAAAGCTTGCGTTAATCATTTGACGAAAACTAATAAAATAATACTTCAACACATAACTTAATATTTGAGCAGAGATTACAATATATCATTACAGAAATTACATGTACATGTGTACAGGTTGTAATTTCTACATTTTATGCAATAACAATATAAAATATCATATTTGGTTACAGCGATGTTAAATAATTTAAAAATGTTTAAAAAAATCAAAAAGTGAATTTTTATTATTTTATGTATAATTATGTATAATTATGTAATAATTATTTTTTAAAAAACTTTTTTTGTCTCTAATGTCATTTTATATAGTTTAAATCTATTTTGGGATGATAAATTATAAATATAGAGCTTTTACACAATGTTTTATTTTTATTTAAAAAAAAGCAACGTTTAAAGAAACAAATGGTATCTTTTGTTATTATCAAAACCAAAACGTGTATAGGTTTTTATAAGAATTTTACCATTTGCGATTTTGAACGTTTTTTTAAATGCATTTTAACATATTCCAGTTTTAACATTAAAAGTTAAGTATTAAATGAATATTTACGCTTCATTTTTTAAAGCGTAATTTACACACTACGTTCTTTTTTTTAAAAATTGTTTTAAAAACTTTTTATATTTGTAAATTCAGTCAGACATATATTGCTAGATATTGTATCAACAGACATGATTCTTGAATAGTTTCATGCATTCATGCGGCTTAAAAATTTTATCGCTAAATTATTAAATCAAAATTTTATCTAAATTATGTAAAGTACCTAATCAAAATTTTCAAAATTCACCCACATTCCAAATTTAGCATTTAATGTACAATGCATGTGAGAAAAATGCTTTATCTTTTATAATCCCTTTAACTTCTTCATTAAAAATATGAAATGCCTTTTAATTTCTTTTTAATTTTTAAATGAAAATACATTCAGATTTGTTAAACTCAATATATTTATTTAATTTCACAAATTTGTACACTTAGAAATTAACTACAGCTACAGATTTACTCAATGTTAAAAAGCAATTCATTCAAAAATGTTAAAGGATAATGAAGAATAGTTAATATATTTATAATTATCTAAATTTTTCTATAATTTAAATGCTTTAGTGGAATCTATTTTAAAAAATTGATCTCTTTTCAATAAGCGCTATTCTTGCTAAATGTTTATGAAGAGTAATCAATTAAGTAAGTTCGAACAAAGCAATATTTTAATAAGGTTGAAAATAACGTTACTAAAAGTAGGTTCAATAATATACGAGTTAAAAATGTTTTCCAGTCAGTAACAATTTGCATGAAAATTAGGAATCAATGAACTGAAATTTCGTTTTGCTCATTGCTACTTTTAGAAATTATTTAGAATAAGTTATATTAAAGGGTTTCAGTAACGTTCTAGTATTATGGTGATGTCTATTAAAGAGTTTATTACTTATTACGTTTAAAAAAATTCAGTAACAAATATTTTTTACAAATGCATGTCATAAGTGTGCGTTCACAACAGCTGAACCTATTAAAAATTTTAAAGAACTGGAATAGAAATTGAAAAGTATATCGTTATCAAAATGCAAATAAATCAACGTTATTTCTTTGAATCACACGAATTTTCTATTAAAAAATATCTCGTAACTTTGGTAGTTTAAAATAATAATAATATTTGATTATGAAATATAAAAAATATACATTTTAATTGCATCAATTTAAAAATATTTATCTGTTATTAGTAAAATTAATATTTATCTGACTTGCTAAGAAATGTTATTTTCATTTAAATCTAACATTATTTTCTGCAATTAAATATTTTATACTGCAACTTCATAGGGAATAGTTTGAATTTCTAATTAGTTCCCTATAATTTTTTTTATAAATCAAATAACAGCAATATTAAGTAAAATACTTACTACATATGAATCTGGAAACAAAATTTCTCATTTTTTAGGAGAAGAAGCTTTTGCTTGGGCTAACAATTTTAAAAATGAACAAATATTTGCCGTTAACTCAATGTGAAATGAAAAAAAAAGAATAAATAAAATCAGGGGGGTAAACTATAAAAAATCGATAAAAGGGCATAATCACATCAGCTATTAGTCACATGTATTCTATGATCAGTAATTTAATGATCCAAAGATATCGACGCCTGCCACCAACAACCAATCGGAGCAAAGAATACAACAGACAATAATGTTGTGACGTATTGTTGATTGTATGTCATTGTGATGAAGCGTATGATACCAACACCCCCAACTGTTAATGTTTCTTCAGCAGATGATGCGCCAGGTAAAATTAATACACGTCATTTATTTCATAATTTCATAAAATGCTTACATTTAATAATGGTAGATTTATAATTTACAACACCAGTTGTTGATAAAGAAATGTATTAAGAAATGTTGTCTATGAAAAAATCAGATATTTATCAAATATCTGAAATAATTAAATTCTAGCTTAATAAGCTTTTGCTAGGTTAATAATTTAGTTTTTTTGCATCTTAATTTTAATTCATAAATCTGCATGCTTTTCTGATTTCCTCTGTATATATTTCTACAACTAATATCATTAATTCATAAAATTTTATATTTATTTTAAGCATATCTTTACTTAAATATAGTTGAAATGTAGAATTTTCAACTTATATGATAAATTAATTAATTTATGTTTTCTCTAAATATTGGAGATTTTATATTAACTTCTTTAGTAATTGATGTTTATTTAAAACTAAACATTTCGAATAGTTATCACAGATTTAATGAATATGTAGAATTTGGATAAAATATTTAATTATTTTTAAGCCAGAAACAATTAGTGCTTCTTTAAGTTTGAAAACATTAAAATATTTTCGGCTATTTAAAATACTTTTTAACTAAGTAATTAAGGAAGTACTTCTTTAATATAAGCATTCAAGAAAACAAACATCCAAATATAAAAATAAACATTAATAATTTATTAAATTTCACGACTTGATTTTTTTTAATATAACACGTTCAATAGAGAAATAGATAGAACTATCAAAATTGTTTTCAATGAAAATATATTTATTTTAAGTTAAAGTTAAACAATAATAATAAAGTGCACTCAGATTTCATTATTTTCTTTTAAAAGTGCTATCACGTCTGTAATTTCAGAGCCATATTTCAATGGATTCCAAAATATTACCCTGAAATAGAAAAAAAAATCATTTAACGTAACCATTACAGTTTTATCAATTCTGATAATCATAATCAATTATAACAAACACTAATTACGATCAGTTGAAAAATCCATAAATAAAGTTTGACCGTTTAACTGATAAATCGATGAATCTAATAATAATAATAATCTAAAGATAAATTAACTGATAATAACAATGTATATCAAATTAAAATGAAAGATGAATTCATAAAATAAGTTGTTAGTGCTTTACAAGCAACTTATTTTATGAATTTATACTACACTTCAATGAAGGTATTGAAATAAAATATCTTCAATACCTTAGTATTTAAAGGAAAGTGAAATGTTTTGAATCTTTCAATAAATAATTGTAAGAAAGTGTTATTTACTAATTGTGTTTTCTGAATCCATAGTTTGTAATGAAAGTTTAATAACTATATAAAAATCTTTGAAACTTTACCAATTGACAACCCTTTTTATTAAAAATTAAAGAAAAGTATAATTATGTCTCAATTTGAGAAGAAAACTTTTTGAGTTGAAATTGAAATTTTATTACTTACTATTATTAACTTATTGAAATTGCAACATACACAGTTTAATTTATATGCTTTTAGTCATACATAGTAGATTAACTATATTTGATAATTAATTTCTTTTTGAAAGACGTACTGTAATAAAATGAACAAAATGAACAATAAACGTTTTTACCATTTTAGAAATTTTATACAAAACATTTTCATTAATTTTATCGAAATTTTCATGAATTTTCTTCCATATTTCCATTTAAAATTTAACGCTCATTAAATAAAAAAATATTATTTTAACATGCTTTTAAAACACGCTTTTATCACATAATTTAAATTAAAATTATAAAGCCTGTTTTCAAATTTCAAATTTTTCTTGTACCATTAAAAAAGTGTGAAAACTGAATTTTCTATCAATAAAATGAAGAAACTTATAAAACTACATTTTGCGAATCTGAGGGAATATTCTTTTGTGCACAGATTTGTGTTAAAGCTATCTAAAGTTCTTCTTATATTTCAAATACAGTATTATACGTAGATTAAACAGCAAGTACAAACAAGAAAATGTTAACAAAAAGAAATAAATAAATAAAATTCATAAAATTAAATAATGCATTGAAAATAAAATGTACTCAACCAATTTTTTTTTCTAAAATAGGGAGAGTGAAACAAAGTTTTAAACTACATGTAACAGTAAAAATATTTGTTCATGTATAATGTGGAAAAAAAAACTTTCAATTCATAAAACACTTCTACAGAGTTATTTTTCAAATAAAGGATACATTATAATAAGTTTATAATTGTTAGTAAATAAAATGATTAGATACATCAACCTTATAAATTTTTGCTTGTGGAAATTTGTACGTCTGTTATGATGAAATTAATCAATATCTAAAAAATAAAAAGAAATAAATTAAGAATGAGAAATTTTTGACGCAGCACAGGAAAATGTAAAACTGATTATTCTGGACAAATCCCGAATAATTTTTTGGTTTCTTTTGCTTTCTCTTTTTAAATTATGATAATAATACAATTTAATTGCTAAAAAATTTGTTTATACTCTTGAAATGGGCTTGATTATACTCTAGACATACTAAAACATGGGTTTTATAGAATAAAATGCATTACCTTTTCTTGTATAATTTAAAATATTTTTTTTTCCTTTTTCCAAATATTGCACTCTTTTTTTGTGAATATTTCAATCGCTTTTTTATATCACACACATTAATATTATATTCTTGACAGTGATTTACAAACTTAAAACCTCACTACATTTCTAGCGTTTCCTGAATTCTTATTCAAAGCAGAAAAAAATTTAAAATATGTTTGAAAATTGATAGAAAAAAGTTCAAAATATTTTAATTGGTAATAACATTCATTACAATATTTTGCTAGTTATTATTAAATAAGCTACATAGAACTGCAAGTTTTACCTTTTAAACTCGTTATTGAAAATGAAGCCGACTACAAATTAAATTCATATCTCTTCTATGCTTTTCAATCATTTGTGGCTTAGGGAACAATGAAGCAGATTTATTCCCTGAAAAAATAAAGATAACATTTTTCTACTATAGATAAATTCATGACAAAAGAAATTTATATTTACTTTGTTTAATAGTTTTGATCGAAATTGTATTAAACAGAGCTACATGTTCCCAAAATAAAAAATATACAACAGAAAGAACCTCAAAAAAGTGTCTTGTACGTTTTCATTTATAGTTTATCATTTTAGAGAACTTTAAAGTCTTAAATCTAATATTCGAATCATGCAGTGTCTTAACTACATTCTTAAATGAATTGTTTCGTAAGCATTATGTCACTCAAATTTCACTCAAGTTTGTCACTCAAATTTTCTGAAGTTTACAATAGTATCTTACTATCAATTTAATAACTACGATAATATAGTTTAAATAGGTAACGTATTAAGGCTGAAGTAAATTTCAATGACAAAGCTAAATATACCTGAAACTTTCTAAAAATGTAAGTTGTCAAAACAGGTTAGTAATTTCATTTATTCATTTTCAAAGATTTTGATGCACCAATTGTGTATAAATTCACACGTGTCATTGTAGCAATTCATACAAATGATGATCTTGAAACTGATAAATCTTTACACATTTTTCATGATTGAATCAGTGGTAATACCTAGATTCCTTAAATTTTCAAATCGTTGCAAACCGTAAATTTTCAAATCATTTCCTTTATATTTTCAAATGTCTTTTTAACAATATGGAGTTTTATGGCTTTTAATTGATTTAGGCCAGTGTAGTCCAAATTAAATTATTATTATGGATTTTTTAAATAGAAATAATTAAAAATATTACTTATGTTAGAATTTTATGACATCGATTCTTTGCTTTTTTTACTGTTTTATTAATTTAAACGCATCATCCTGAAATTAGAAATAAATCTTGCTATATAATAGTTCTAAATATTTCTAAAAGAGAAAAGTTATATTATTTATTATTGTATTTTATTTTATGACGAATCAAAGGTATTTTTGACTAGATTATAATTTGTAAGAGTATTTCGAGCGTGTAACTATTTCAGAGAATAATGAGTGGCAAGTGTATCATTTTGGTATAAACATGAAGCAATTCTTAAAATGAAACTTTTTTTCTGCCAAAATCACAAACATAATAAATAAATATGCTAAAAAAATAAAACTATGTTTTAACACTCAATACCATCACTGCCAAACAAATTAAGTTTTAAATTTTATCAGTTTTGTTGACTGAATGGAAGATAAAATTTGATTAAAGCAGATATTTCTTCGTTACACTGAAAAAATAGGTTCAAACTTTGCTCTAAAGTGTTTTCATACAGACAAAACAACATTAAATGTTTGATATCTTTAAAGAATATATTAGAAAGCGGATAAAAATGCATAGTTACGCACTCGCACGTTTTTAAGATACATGATTTTTTTTATTAGCAACAGAATTCGGAATTCAATTATTCATTAAACGAATTTATGAAGTTATTTTCTTCAAAACAATATTTAAATATATAAATTTTGATAATGAAACGTGTTTTTAAATGCATAACTATTTTTAAAGGGCTAATCAATTCCTTATTTGCTGCCATAACAATATTGAACTATAAAGCTCTAAATTGTGAACTCAACAATTCTGAAAACAAGGGAAAAGAAAACAATCTGCCTAAAAAAGTTTAAATTTTCCAAAAAGAAGTTTATTTTTTTTCTGACTGCGATTGGAGAACATGATCCACAATCACGGTGAAATTTAGATACAGTTAGAATAACTATATCTCATTATAAAAAGTTACAGTTAGAATAGCCAAACAGT